TCATTAGTTCTGATGGTATAAACGGAGCCGGAGGGGGCCCCGAGCTGATCGTCCTCGACTCTGATTTTTGATTGGTACCTATTATGGACGTCGCCCAATTTACCGCCGGGTATTCAATCAAATTCTGTTTCAACTGTAGTGAAGCCAAGGAGCTTCGGGGGTTGAGTCCTTGAGTGAACGCCTGAACGACCCAATCACCCGCAACTAGAGGCAGGTCTACGAATTCCCTGAGCATTTCGTTATCCCTTTGTTTTACTTTGTGAAGGTCCAATTTTTTGGTCTCGACCTTGATGGCCCCGGCCTGTGCTTTTACAAAGGTATCTGCAAGCATAGCAAATGAATCAATTGAATTTGGGGTTAAGTTGTGATACCATATCATTGCTCGTTTTTACAGGGTTTCTCCGAACATTTTCAGCAAAACTGACTCGATTTCGTCATCTTCTAAGTAATTTCCCTTGTTGGCAGATGTGTAGGAGGTCATGTGCTCATTTGAATCCATGATTCCATTATATTTCAGAATATCGGGCATACGGAACTTCTTCGGGATTGGCTTCGGTGCCGCAATCGGAGGGAAAGGCTTTTGGACAAATTTCTTGGAGTCTAGGCCTTTCAATATCGGGGGCGCTCCTGGGATTCGATCAACTCTAGAGTTATAGGTCTCCACGTTTTTGTCGTTGGCCTCAATTTTCTTCTCCCTCGATTCCACCCGCTTTGTCAGTTCCTCAAGCATCTTTATTATTTCGGGGTTGGTTCTGGGCTCAGCTTCACCTGGCCTTTCCGTGACTTGGTCGTTTCTTTGGGTGTTTTCCCGGGATGGTTCGGGCTCAACTCTGCTGGGGGCACAACTTTGGTTCTGCAGTTGGGCTATCGCCGCCTGTTGGACTTGTAACATTTTGAAGATCACCCGTAGATTGATCTCGTTGCCTTCAACGTTGGGCATACCTCGAGCCGTTTATCGGGCTCCTACGCGAACACTGTTCTCGGGGTCGGTTGGCAGGTTGGCATCGATGGCCATATGTGAGTTGGCATTGATTGGGTCTGCAACTGGGACTCCGCTGGGGTTAGCAGGGGGCACCTCGTTGCTAGGTACTATATTGTTGTTTTCGCCATGGTGGCCAGACTCAGCATCAACGTTCAAGTGAGTAGATTGAGAGTTTGAAATTCTTTGATAGATCTGAAATTAAAATCTCAAAGAGCAAGCGTAAAATAAAGTGTGTTATGGAAATGTATCAAATTGCCACTATTATCCTTAGCCCTATGGTGTGCGCCAAATTATTTACCCTTAAAAATGGATAACAATTGAATTTATACGCGGTTATAAGAATATGTGGATTAATTCAATACAAGTGATTTATGACGTTAGATAACCAAATAAAAAATAGAATAAACAGCCAAACCAGTAGTGATATTAAATTCGGGCTCGGTTAAAAGTTTAACAAATAGCCTGCTTCAGTTTAGAGCCAACACTAATGAAGAGCTTATGAACAAAAGTAAGAACTTTGAATAACTTTTAGAAACAGAGAAAACAGGTATATATTGCCTTGGTAAGCATATTACAGAGAGCCTATTGAATAATAAACTTTCCCTTTATATAGTAGGAGAGTTTTACCCTAAGTACAATTCTAAGAAAGGTAAAGATCTTCCTTTTCGCTAATCACTAATCAACTGCTGATACGGGCCAAGATTCACACCGTGATATCCGGTCGATCATGGATATCACGACCCTTTGTTAATCGTGTGCGGGCGTTTGGCAATGCTTTTCGAGGTCTCGGAGTTCAAATCGGGTCCGTGGTCATGGTCTCGATGGCTCCGGGGGTAGGTGTTTTGTTCGGGCCTTGATATGGGAGGTTCCCAACTTTGATTTTGATTCCTTATAATTACGTCCTCGCTTCGTTTGCCCCACGGGGAAATCGGGGTGCTCATTAGCCCCGGTTTTGCTCATACACACTAACCAAATTAGTACTCCCTCCATTTTATTTTATGTGAACCTATTTTAGTGGGCACAAAGTTTAACGAAAAAGACAAGATTTTTGAACTCATGGTGTAAAATTGGGCACATATATTTTGTGTAGATATAAATCATCGCATAAAAGTAAATTATTTTCAAATTTGGAAAGGGATTATTCTTTTTGACATGGACCAAAGAAGTTGTTCACATAAATTGAAACGGATAAAGTACTATAAAAGTGTCGTGAAAGTAGTTATATGCCCTATTACAAATGTTGTTTTACTTACAACAGATATTTATCTTAACGCATTGGAGATCATAATGTAACGTACAAAGAAGATCTTTATAGAGTCATTTTCTTTTATTCAAATCATAACGAGTAATTTGTACCATTTCTACGAGTGCTTGTGGAGCAACATCGAAATCTCGTAAGTATTCAGAATTTTAAGAGCATGGGTGCACCACTATCTTTAAATAAATACATGATTTGACAAATAATTTTGTTTACAATGACCCAAGTTGATGAGACAACTCTAGTTAATATTATTAGTATTATTTAAGTCCTCGACGAGTTTTCATACTTTAAAAACTATAAACAATAGCATCATTACTTATAGTTTAAAATATTTTAAGTTTTATATAGCAAGTTAACAATTATTAAAAAATTCTTCATCCATTCTATTACGTAGATCTTTTCAAGTACTTCTATTTTCCAGTGGATATGTGATTTGTATGATTAGTTTTTAATTATAGTGGAAGTTTTTAAAATTAATTTTATTATCTTGTTCTGATACTTTATTTCTTGACAAAATGTAAACTTTTTTGAGAGATTAACCATTTAATTTTGAAGTTCTCTTTTTCAATGAACACTTACAACCTACTATTATTAGTGGTAATCTTTAGAAAAAAAAATTAAACAATAAAGAAATAAAAGCATTTTATAAAAAGTTTGAGGGAGCAAGGAGGGATAGACCCCCTTGAGGGTAAAGATGCACTCATTTACTGCTGAGCCAAAGTGCTCACTTCACCATAGGTTCGCACATCCTTATATAAGAACAAAATCAGAAAAATACAAGTGCTATATATAATCTAAAGAAGTGAGCATGAGTTCACGTGAACCCACTCCTCCCGTATAGATCCGCCTCTGCATCGACTATTTGTCTTTAAGTGGTATTACTAGTCTTTCAGGAGGATCAATTGATTTAGCACTTTCATCTAACTGGTTTTTCATCCCAATAGCATCTAATACCTTCACATATGTGGAGCAAGTAACATATTACATTAAACTCCAAAACTGGAGAATTTCATAGACTGTGAAAATGGTTGAATAAAGCTTAAAAAATGCTAATATTCCATTTAGAATGTCCAAACAAACAAGGAGGTCCAGCATTTCTTGAACAACTTCAGAAAAGTTGTTAGCTTAGCCGCCCAAACGAATTTAAATTGTAGAAGATAATTTAGAAAAAAGAAGGCAGGAAACTTAATTTCTGTATAGTATTATCAGGAGATATTATAAATTAATGCGTAATTGGTGCTTTGGTTTGTAAAATCATAAAAAGCAATTTTCTTTTATCAAGTGGTAAAGCACCAAGTCCACCATTACGTACCTACTCACTACTATAATTGCACTTAACAGCTCATTGGCCCTCAGTTTTTGATTAATCCATATTGAAAAGCATCTTGGACTGTTCATACAAATTATAATAATTGATAAAGACAGCATAATAACTTTGATTATCACATCATAATTACAAGCCACTATCTCCCCTCCCCTTTTTAAACAAACTTAAACTTGTGGCAGTCCTTTCTTGATCTGAAGTTGTGAACTGTATACTTATTTTATATTTCAGTTTATTCTTTTTCTTTTATTTTTCATTGTTTTCAGTCTAGCTGGACTAATCTGTTGGCAAGTCAATCCCCTTTTGCAATTAATGATGAAAAGCTGATTTTTTCTTTAAAAAGAAAATAACAATCAAAATTGCAATAATAGCTTATTATCAATATTATAACACAGTTTCTTGGTTCAACATATCTAGCCAAACTTGGAGGGGTAAAAGACCCATAACAAAAGGATCCTTCATATAATCTCTTTATTCTAAAAAAAAAAAAAAAAAAAAAAAAAGCACAAAAGAATTTGTTGATTAAGTGATGCAACTAACCGTTAAAAGTCCATTGCTGACCATGGTTGTCTCTATCATAGATTCCACAGTCGGCAAAATGGTCGGTTCGAGCAACAATCATTTTGATGGACCCTATTATCATTTTACTTATTTTTGGTCGGCTGTATATCCTAATCTCATTCCTTTAAGTTTAAATTTTGTGGTGTATCATTTTTTATCTCATCAAATCAAATTGACCTATAATAACAACTAATTCTACAAATCAAGCTCGACATCATAACCTAAAAAGATAAATTGGTATAGTTGGTTAAATTGTATTAATACTACTATAGGAGCTGGAATAGTTATACATTGTTTGGTTTACTATTCATGTATAATTATTCCTGATATAAAGTTATCCACAAATTTTGGTATAATAACTTTATACCACTATCTACATGGAGTAACTAATCCATGTATAACTAATACATGTATAAAACATCAAAACGATAAAATTATCCTTTTATTTTTTCTAGAAGCCTATGAAAGTCAAGCATCCAAAGGTATAATTGTAAACTCATTGCTTTTTAGTTTAGAAATTAAACCAATATTTTAACTAATATCTTGCATATCCAATTTTAGTGCAATAAACTAAACATTCAATAAGAAATAATCTATATATTACTAATTAATATATTATTAATCCATACATTATAATCCATATATAACTTATTTTTTTAACTAAACAGCCCCAAAAAGTTCTTACGACAATAATTCTGTCAAGTATGTAAAACTTTTTTTCCCCGTAAATCAACCAACTCCAACAAAAAGGATTCCATGATATGCCACGTGTCAGCATCCAAACAAATTGGAGGCGCGCCTAAGGGACAATGACAGGTGGTTTCCAGCCCAAGGGTTTCCTCTTATTTAGTCCACTATATATATTGAAGTGGCATATAGCTGCTAGGAAATAAACAGAGTCACCAATACAGAACTTTTCAATAATCTTAAGAAGAAAAGGTAATGCCGATTTCAAAAATTGCCCTCGGAAATTTAGCAGAGGCTAGCCAGCCTGATGCTCTCAAGGCTGCACTAGCTGAGTTCATTTCAATGCTCATCTTTGTTTTTGCCGGTGAAGGCTCTGGCATGGCCTTCGGTTAGTCCATGACTTAACTTACATAAACTGACTTATAATTTTTTTTTCTTATACTATTACTAAATTTTTAACCTGTAATAATAAATATTGGTACTCTTCACAGGTAAGCTAACAAATGGCGGAGCAGCCACACCTGCTGGATTGATTTCGGCTGCTATAGCCCATGCCTTTGCCCTTTTTGTGGCAGTTTCAGTAGGAGCAAATATTTCTGGAGGTCACGTAAATCCTGCGGTCACATTTGGTGCTTTCGTGGGGGGTCACATTACTCTTTTCAGGAGTGTTTTGTATTGGATTGCCCAATTGCTTGGATCTGTCGTCGCTTGCGTGCTCCTCAAGTTTGCTACTGGTGGATTGGTAATTACTTAATAAAGAAAATTACTCTAGTATATGTGTTTGTACTGAGTTTATTCCTAATGTAATTTACTGAAATAAATGATTCAGGAAACATCGGCATTCGCGCTCTCAACAGGAGTTACCCCATGGAACGCAGTTGTTTTTGAGATAGTGATGACCTTTGGACTTGTTTACACCGTCTACGCAACTGCAGTTGATCCTAAGAGGGGCAATTTGGGAATTATTGCCCCAATTGCAATTGGTTTCATTGTAGGTGCGAACATTTTGGCTGGTGGTGCCTTTGATGGTGCATCAATGAACCCTGCTGTGTCTTTTGGTCCAGCAGTGGTCAGTTGGACATGGAACAGTCACTGGGTGTACTGGCTCGGACCATTTGTTGGTGCTGCCATTGCTGCTTTGGTTTATGAAATTATCTTCATTGGTGACAACACTCACGAGCAGCTCCCCACCGCTGATTATTAATGAACAAGTTCCTCCTTTCTTTCTCTAAAACCAAATGTTGGATATAATTAATTTAAGCTAAGGTTTCAAGGTTGTGGTTTATTTTGCTGTTCGCTCTTTGTTTTTCTTTTCAGTACATGGTAAAAGTTGTGGGTTTTCTTAATTGTAAAATCGTGAAAAATCAAGAGATCCAAGTGTCATGTTTAATGTGCTTGAGTTGACTTCTCTTTGATATGTTTAGCTATATATTTATTTGTTGCAGACAAACTAACATCAACAACTAACTACTCCCCCCTAAAAAATTGGATAATAACTCCCTTGCACTAGGAGTAGGCCCACTAAATAAACTATAAGAAGTTAGAATGTCGCATGAGATAAAAAAACATTGTATATCCAGAGAAAAAACATAATCATCGTTCATTAACTTGGCAACGATTTTTAAGTAGTCAAACAAAAGACAAAAATCTAATAGGCTCTGTGCTCATACTTTGTTGGTTAAGTTCAAAGTTGTCTTAGAAATCAATAGAAAAAACAGAGTACCGTCTGGTTTGTCAGAAAATATTACAACATACCTTGATAGATCAATAGAGGAAAATGTTCTTCAGAAAAACCAGAGCAATATATAGATGGATATTCATCAACTTCCCCCCACGAAATTTTAGTATAGGTTGTTATGGTTGAGCACCTCCGCATGAAAAGGCTAGCTCTATTAACAAACTTCTGGAGGTGTAATAACTGTGTCAATTTTGGTTCTAAAACTAGTACTCGTTATTTGTTATAAAATAATAAAAGAAGAAGAACAATATTGTAGAGAAAAAGAGAGGGGAAATTCTTATTGAATTTGGGATGAATTACAATACAATAGAACCCTTTATTTAAAGGGAGAGGGTGACTTAGCCACCAAGCAATGAACTCTAGAATATCTCTAAATATAGACATTCACCATAAATACAATTCTATTTATAACACTCCCCCTTGAATGTCTATTCAACAGATAATGTGCCTCGTTAAAACCTTAAGTAAAATAAAACCCAGTGGGAAAAAAAATTCTAGAGAAGGAAAAAGAGTACACATATCTAAAAATACGCCTTTTGGTTGCCTCGTTAAAAACCTTGCAAGGAAAACCCAGTGGGACAAAACCTTGTAAGGAAAAAAGAGTACAACGCGTATTAACTCCCCCCTGATGAGAGCATCAATTCACATCCTTAAGCATTTGCATTCCAATCTTGTGCACCATCTTCAAAAGATCTTTGGTAGATATTTGATAAACAATATCAACCATATTAACTTCTACGAATTTGTTTCACCTTGAAATCATCATCCCTGATAGATGTATTGTCTTCATATGATCTTGTTGGAATCATCATTTCAATATCTTCATATAGGGGTGAAAACCCTTGCTATCGTATTATCATGCATATAGTTATAGCAAGATACATTTGTACACAAATTGCACTGAGTAAGTGGTACTTCAAGATCAAGAAATGTATATGCTTCAAGCAACTTAAATCCTTCATGGATTGTCATATAAGTTAAGTCATATAAGCCATCTAGGTGACTTTAGATGCATATCAAGTTTTCATGTCATGCTAGACATATAAGATATCGAAAACTGATTGCACATACCATTGACTTTATACTTTCAAGTGTTTGAACTACATGTTCAAAACTACATGCTTTCATATGAAACCAATTCTATTTGAATTGTTTCACCAGACTTAAGATCCTCATATATATTTAGCGGTATCATAGATGTCGTCGACGAACATTTTATATCGGTTTCAACATTTTAATAAAGACATAACATAGAGATCTCTTCATTCATTTCAGGTACCTAAACCTCTATTGAGATTTTATGAAGCATTATGTCATGTGATCTTCTAGATCACTTGCCTCCTTTATTATGATCATTTTGATCATTTGCTCATCTTCTTTATCAAGAAGTTTATTTGAAACCGATTTGTCTATACGCTTCAAGCGTACCATAGACTTTGTCCTTCTAGGACTTAATAGGAGCATTTGCAATGAGAATATAGTTACTTTCTTTGGGTCAGCAAATGCGTCTGGCATGCTTTGCAATATATTGCAAATGAATTATCCTTTTATGAACTTCAAGTTCATATTATTTTATTCGGGGATCTAGATGTATAAATGATAATTCATTCCATGTAACTTTTTCTCAACTGTTGTATCTTGTCTCCCCCTCATGTTAGAAAAACTAACTTGTTTTTTCAACTTTGAGAACCCATCTTTGTGCGTTATAGTGTTAATCAAAATATACACCGCACATCAATAATAATGAGATGGAATTATTTGGTTCCTGAACCTGAAACCACTTGTGAGGGGAGAATGTAATATACTTTCGTATATAACCTATATCAAACTGATATAGATAATTTTGTTCTCAAAAGCAATAGTTTAGCTATTAAGTGGAGGCACTCAATAAATCATTTTGCTAAACGAACTGTGATGTAAACCAACTTATCAAGATGAACTTCTTGAATAAAAAAAATCTGGAAATTATGCTCGAAATTAAATTATTGAGCAAGTTACTTCGCAAAATATCATGTTGCGGGTTAATAATAATTGCACATGTAACCATCTCATAGATGCATCTTATGTGGTATACATGGCAGGTGAATGGGCCCATATTCACCTTTGATATTTCCAGCATTCATGGGATTCAATCCCAATTTTAGTTGATCTATTAATTAATGAGAACAAGCAATATAAGAGAATTCGTAAAGAACTTTCTAGTTCTTTAATATTTACCCATGTGAATTCTCTTTTATTTTTTGCACATCATACTTGAATTGATATGGCTAAACCAATTATGCCAACTGAATAAATTATCAATATTGATAAACTTCAGATTTACACCATGATGTGTGCAATTATGAATAAACTCCAAGTTTATTATGATATGGGTTTTTATATCAATAAATATCCACTTCATTGTGGTATTCTTTTGTTTATGTAGTACAAATTGGAGAATAAAGCGGGTAGCTTTTCACATACATATTACCCCGCTACAAGTTGTAGTAATAGAAGATATTAAATATTTCCTTTATTTATAGTCTCAATATAATCAACCGCTTTCGCGTATACTTTGAAAACTGAATAAGTTTCTTTGAGACTTACTACAACACAATACCTTATTGGTAATCAATTAAGTTTCTCCAAAATAGTATAATTGGCTCTTGCAGAGTTCTCAATTAATTTTGTAGTACCACATATTCATCAACACCCATATGGTGAATATCTCTTTTAAAGAGAAAGTTATACCATTATGGTTATGGTCAAAATTATATGCAAGATCCGTTTCTTGCATTACCGTTATTCTTTAATAATCACATTACCAAAATATTTTGGCGTACAATAGGTACGTGACCAATGACCATTCATGCCATAATAATGATATTATTTTCTTATATCATCTCAACTCTCCTTTTAGAGGTGAGTGTGGTATGTTCACTACCAATAGCATATTCATATTCTTCCAAGAATGAATATGTATTCATAAATAAGATGTTTTCACATTCACATCATGAATGGACCATAATCATCTATATGTGCTTTATAAAATATCATGTCAAATCGATGACAAATATTACTTTCACAGAGTGAAGGATTATTTTGAGAATCCTTATTATTCTCATTATCACAATGATGACGATTATAATTTCGTCTAATACCATGTCTACATCCATTGATACCTTCACGGTAATAATTTTATCTTCTTTCAGACTTATCACATACTGCTATCACATTCTCTTAAGGGAATGAGAATGGAGCAAATTCAATGGGATGGGTTTCCACTTCTTTGCCCACAATCATACATGAATTTGATCATGGCAAGGCATAGAATTTTACCACTTCAGGTGGTTATAATTTCTTACAAACTCCATTAGAGTTATAATCAAACTTTGTTGTCTTTGCTTGTATTTAAAATCAAATTATAGAATTTCACGAATTTAAAAGTGAAAAATAAAGTAAAATACTTACCTTAAATCCAGAATTTAATCATGAAGGAAGTTCATGGAACAATTGACAATCATTATGCTCAATCCCAAAGCTTCTACTCAATTGGTTAGAGTCTCGTGCTGATAACGTGTTATAAAATAATAAAAGAAGAAGAATAATATTGCAGAGAAAGAGAGAGGGGAAATTCTTATTGAATTTGGGATGAATTACAATACAATAGAACCCTCTATTTATAGGGAGAGGGTGACTTAGACACCAAGCAATGAACTCTAAAATCTCTCTAAATATAGACATTCACCATAAATACAATTCTATTTATAACATTATTAAACTTTTTTCAAATTTATGTCTATTTATAAACCTCCTGAAGTAGGTAACAGTCTCCTAGCTATTAAGACTCTATGTCCTGACAGTGTAAATGTAGAGAAAGGGTTCACTTAGCTATACATTAGAGTAGGGGCATTTTTGTCTATTTATCAGTTTGGTGATTAGTAGTTTGTTAGGTCGGTTAGTGGAATAGTTAATTATAGCTCATTTTGTTAAGCTTAGCTAGGTCGTATAAACGGCAATGTATAGAGTACCGTTTCATTGAGTTAGTGAACACAGATATTTCTCTCTTCTCCATTTCACTCCTTCTCTCAATTACATTGTCTTAGCTAACACAAAAGAAGGAGTAGATGGTGATATATGAATGGGAGGTTGGGACATGTGTCAATTGGAGTACTTCAAAAGTTATTTTCAATAAAATTAGACAATTGTATGTTTACTATAAATAAGTGCCATGTATGTCCACTTGCTAAATACATTAGACTTCCATTCTCTAGTAATAGTATTAAAACTACACAATGTTTTAAACTAGTATATGCTGATGTATAGAGTTCCAACCTTTGATGGAAATAAATACTTCCCAACTCCGGTAGATGACTTCTCAAGAATGACTTGGTTGTTTCTTTTGAAGCTTAAATCAAATATTTGTGTTGTGTTGAAACAATTTCTGAGTTATGTCAAAACTTAGTTTGACAAAGGAGTTAAAATTGTCAGAACTGGTAATGGAGTAGAATTTGTAAACTCAACCTGTGTAGAACTGTTTCAAGCTCTTGGACTGGTGCATCATAGAACATGTGTCTATACTCCTCAGCAAAATAAAGTAGCTGAGAGAAATCATAGACACATCGTAGAGGTTGCCAGAGCTATGAGGTTTCATGCACATATTCCTCTAAAGTACAGGGTCATTTTATTCTAGCTGCAGCTTATGTCATAAACAGAATGCCTTCTTCAGTCTTAAATAGTGCATCACCCTTTCAAAAGATGTATAATAAGAAACATTCACTAGAACATCTGAGAGTAATGGGATGCATGTGTTATGCCAAAGATGTACAAGTACATGACAAGTTTATGCCAAGGGCAATCCCTGCAATGCTAATGGGATATTCATCAGCCTGGCCTTGATACCTCAACCTATGATCCGTATTCGACATCTCAGAATGGAATGAACTTTGGGCACAACACAGAGATCAATCATGAAGAAATAGAGCCCTATAATGATCATGAAACAAAAATGTCCTACTGAAGATACATAACTTCCTATGGTAGATGATCTTGAAGAAGAGGTAGGTACATCAGGTCATAGTCTTGCTCAGGAACAAACACCTGCACAAGCACAGTTTCAAGGGCCTCGGGAGCAAACACCTGCACAAAATTTCTATTGGATGTAAGTGGGTATATAGAGTTAAATATAAGGCTTCAGGAGAGGCGGAGTGGTTCAAGGCCAGGCTAGTGGCTAAGGGACACTCTCAGAAGGAAGGGATTGACTACAGGGAGACTTTTTCCCTGTAGTCAAGATGGTAACTGTGATATCGGTGTTATTTGTTTGTGCTGCTAAGAGGTGGCACATCCATCAAAAAGATGTGTATACTGCATTCTTGCAAGGTGATCTATTTGATGAGATTTACATGGAGTTTCCACCAAGATTTAAGAGCCATGGGGAGTCACATGCAGTCTGTAGGCTCATCAAATTCTTATATGGGCTTAAATAAGCAAGACAGTGGAATGAGAAGCTTACTGAAGCATTGTGTACATTTGGCTTTTCTCAATATCAATATGATCACTCTTTGTTTGTCAAGAAGCTACCATAAGGCACTGTTATTGTGCTTATGTATAAAGATGATATGCTAGTAACTAGTACTAGCTTACAACTGATAGAAGAAACGAAGACAGCTTTGCAACAAACCTTCCAGATAAAGGACTTAGGAGAACTAAAGTATTTTTTGGGGATAGAGTTTGCCAGGTCTGAGAAAGGAATCCTAATGCATCAAAGAATATATGCATTAGAACTCATCTCAGAACTTGGACTTGGAGCAGCTAAGATAGCAAAAACACCTTTGGAGATGAATGCAAGGTTGATTACACAGGAGTATGATGACCATCTGAAGACTCAAGAAAGTGCAGAAGATGAGTTGTTGCTTGATTTAGGAGCTTATCAAAGACTAATCGGGAAGCTGTTGTACCTAACAGTAACAAGACCTGATCTAGCATTCTGTGTACAGACCTTGAGTCAGTTTTTACAGCAACCAAAAAGATCACACATGGAAGCAACTATGAGAATAGTCAGATATGTGAAAAACCATCCTGGCCAAGGAGGGTTACTATCAAGTAATAACAAAGGCACACTAGAAGCCTATTATGATGCAGACTAGGCTGCTTGTCAACATTCTAGGAAGTCTGTAACAGACTTTCTAATAAAAGTAGGAGATTCCTGGGTATCCTGGAAGTCCATGAAACAAGCCACTGTCTCATGAAGTTCAGCAGAGGCAGAATATAGAAGTTTAGCAGCTACAGTTTCAGAGTTAGTTTGGCTAACTGGTTTAATAAAGGAGATTGGATTTGAAGTTAAGTTACCTGTTGATATTACTGTGATAGCAAGGCAACAATGCAAATAGCTGCCAACCCTATGTTTCACGAGAGGATCAAACATATTGACATAGACTGCCATTTCAAAAGGGAGAAAATGTTGTTGGGATTAGTCAACACCAAATATGTAGGAACAAGGGATCTCGTGGCAGATTTGTTGACAAAAGGCTTTAAGGTTCAACATGAGTACTTAAGTTCCAAGCTAGGTGTGTTGATGTGTTTGCCCCACCTAACTTGAGGGGGAGTGTAGAGAAAATGGTCATTTAGCTGAACATAGAGCAGGGAAATTTTAGTCTATTTATCAGTTAGGTGGTTAGTAGTTTGTTAGGTCGGTTAGTGGAGTAGTTAATTATAGCTCATTTTGTTAAGCTTAGTTAGGTTGTGTAAATAACAATGTATAGTGTACTGTTTCATTGAATTAGTGAACACATAGTTTTTACAATATCAAGTTAATTAAGTTGACCTAGAAAGATAGATAACTCTTCGTATCAAGTCTGTTACGTTGACCTAAAAACAAAGAATATGTTATCACCGATTTAGTTGCACTACCAGTGCTAAAATTCTTGTATTATTGTATATAACTTAAATGCATGCAACTAATGGCCTTAATTAAGTCGTGGCAGCCCTGACCGTACCTCTTGTTTTCCTAAGTTCATTTGTGTCCAAAGAATTTTTTTTGGTTTCCATCTTGTGTCCGGTATTCGTATTGGAGTTCGACTATATGCGGATTTGCGCCGTGTAAGACCCAGTTAGGGAGGAAGGGCTCTCAAACAAGATTTTTCTCATACCTAAGGCTCGAACTCGAACCTCTGATTAAGGATAGAGAGATCCTATACATACCATCACAACCGATGTTGGTGTGCCCAGAGACTCATTACCAGTATTTAGCAGGACCGATAAAGTAATGGCATTGATCCTGGAGCACCCATTGTATTTAGTAGGGGCATCTTTCCCACTTGTTAGTTGTTTCATTGATGTGCTTCATTTCTTCTTGCATTTTAGGAAATATACATTTTTCTAGGCATTATACTACCTCTTCCTTATCTGCCAAAGTGCCAATCAAAGCCATGATGTAATATCGAACATTTTGTCTCATAATTTGTCTTCCCTTTTAGTAGTTGAAGAATATTTTCTTTCACATTCATAAACAAAGTAATTGGTTGTAAAACATGAATATGTGCCACTAAGGAGATTAGTGACTAGTTGTAGTGTGTTTATTATCTTTGTCATCGGGTATTACAGTATTTGTTTTATTGAACTGAGCAGACTAGAATTGAATCGATTCTCGACTTAACAAACAATATGTTATTTGGTTAATTTTACTTACAATCAAGAGTGGTATATTTTACTAAAATAAAGATGTTTAACGTTAAGAGGTCAAGTTAAAGAAAAACACTGTAACTTGTATAAGTCCCTTGCTTCTATAATGTACTATTATTCAAAAAGAAAATGCTGATCTGCTCAAGTCTTAATTTGTTAAATCCCTTCACCTTTCTTAACATCTAAACTTAGTAATCATTCTAATGCGCCTAATCCCTATCATTTAATAATTGACGAGTGCTACATGTTAGAAAACTGTATTTGTAAAATAATTCTGGAGAAGATAAAATAACATATAAACAAAAATGTAAACGAAACAAAATTTAATCCGAGCTCACTGGATTCACAGTGTTTCCTTAAGGAACTTAATCCCTTCCTAGTACCCAAGTTTGGATATTATTTCCTCTCAGGATAGAACGTATTACACACTGGTGTAGCGGTACTTCAAACCCCCAGTGTTTCAGCGAAGACAATGATCGATAGCAAATCACACTTACAATTGCTTTCTTTGTAGTTAAAACAATGCAGAAGAATGGAGGAGAATTCAGAAATTCGTATGGAAAATCTGAGAGAATGGACTGCTATTTATAGCCAATAAACGGGGAATTCATAACGCGGAGGAAACTTAATCTTCCGTTACAAAAACAGAATACGGAAAACGGACACTTAATTTTCCGTTTACAAAAAACGAATATTTAAATATTAACAAGCCGAGCCCGAGCCCGAGCCGAGCGATGATGGCGTGAGACTTGCCTTCTTCTTAACTCTTTAAGAGCTAAAAGAAGAGCAATTGTATATATACCCATCAAAAATCTTTTCCTCCTCCAATATGGGACAATGTCCCTGTGTCAAAGAAGGAAACTCAAATATTTAATTTTTCTTCCACGACACATTCACCCTCTTTTAAGCTTATTTTAGCTTAAAAAACCCAACACTACATATTCGGCCGACCTACTAAAATATTACTAATTATTTTGCCTTAGATGTCTGATAGTAGTATTTGTGAAATACAGTGAAAGAGCTAGGTGTTGCTGCGGGAGCTGGTCTCTTTTTGGAACCTGTACAAATATCGAGCAAGAAAGATTTGGGTATAGTTCTTTTGCTTATAATATATGTTCATTATTGGAGATCCTTAGTACTAAACACTTGCATCCTTATGGGATACCCTAAAGCAGAAGAAATTTATAAGGAACTGGACTAATGGCTTGTGTGCTTGACTGAGTACTTATAATTAAATATTAAGTGATCAGGCATTGGATAACGAAGTCATATGTTCATTTGATGAGAAGCGTTAACTTTTCAGATCATTGTAAATTAGATCAATCAAACAATAAACTGGTCTTTGAAAAGCCAACAATATGTTTAATCATTTAATTGATTATGTTTATTCATCAGTTATGTTTCTTCATGAATTTAATGGCTTTAAGTATTTCTTGTTTGATCTCAAATTCCGAATTTTTTTTTTCTTAATGTCACGACCCAATTTTCATTATAAGCCATAATGGCATCCAACGTCGCCGTTAGGCAAGCCAATGGTGAACTACCCATTTAATTTAAAGTCTTTGATTTTTTATTTAATAAGAAAACAAATAGTAAGTGAGCGTATTAATGTAAAGCATAAACTAAACGTGAAAGTGAGATAGTGAATTAAATAATCAAAATCCATGAGTGTCTACTAGAATTCCCAAAATCCGGCGTCACAAGTGCACAAGCATCTAGTAGAATATACAAAACTCCCTAAGAACTACTGTATCAAATAGAACAGACAGAAATAATAAACATACCAAGAGAAGGCTCCGGGTGCTGTAGAACGGAGCATGGGAAGCAGCTCAACACTAGGTCTCCGGGAAATGCAGATCCGCACCTGGACGAACTCCAAATGTACCTGCCTTAGAACTGCACAATATGTGCAGAAGTATAGAGTGAGTACGTAAACAACGTGTACCCAGTAAGTATCTAGTCTAACCTCGAAGAAGTAGTGACGAGGGGTCGACATCGACACTTACCAGTGGGCAATGTACCTGATGTACAAGAATATTAAATAGGCATGAAATACAACATCAATGCTGGAATAAGAGGCAATAATTAAATATTCTTTAACAAAATAACAATTAAAAATTTCCAAATATCACATGCTAATCTCAACAAGTAAGGGCCAACATGTATATATAAATTCTCAAGTCATGAAAGATATATCAAGTATAATCGGACTCCTAGTGACAGCACGCACGAGTTATGCCGAGGTCGTACGACCCGATCCATAATAATCGTGTACATACACTACCAAGGTCGTATGACCCGCTCCATGGACGCATCCCATAATATATATAAATATTGCCAAGGCGTTTGGCCCGATCCACATGAATAGAGAAACTCTTCGGATTACGAATTTTGTATTTACAACTCCAAGATAATCCCATAAAAGAATATAGAATTCCACCAATAATTAAACATTCCGCCAAATCTCTAAGTAATGAAGCTCGATTTAATATTCTTTAACCAAATTTTTACTTATTAATACAAGCAATTAAACTAGCAAGTTGAGTTCAAATAGTGCAAGCAATATTATAACAAAAGCCTATGTTTACCCGTACATAACATAAATTTTAGCTACGCACGGGCTCTCGTCACTTCGTGCGTACGTAGCACCCACAATTAGTAGCAAATAATAATTTAAACACGTATGGGGTTAATTCCCTCTTACAAGGTTAGGCAAGAGACTTACTTCGTTTTCAAGTCCATTTTCCGGTCAACGAATCACTCTAAAAGCCTCAAGTCGGTGCTGAACAATCCGAAACTAGCCAAAGGTTGTACAAACTAATTGTTAGATCAAATTTAATGATGAAAATAATATATTTGCTCTTTGTATAGGAACTCTTGGGTAGCTGTCAAGATTGGCGAAATCAATCAGAAGGAAAGGAGGCACGATTAAAAGAAGAAGCAATCAATCATGAAGATACTGACGGGATCAATCAAGGCTTAACTAAAGGAAACAAATAAATCAAGATCTCGCTAAATATTCAATCAAGTGTCTAATTATGGAGGATCAAGATTTCGGGCCGTTGCAGAACATCCTTATTCTTGGAAAGAATCAATCTCTTTCCAAGGATCAAATCTCTTGGGTTGGCAAATCTTTCCGGAATTCAAGCCTCTCTCAAAGTATTTAAACCTGTAATCACACCTTAGCAAAATATACTTTGATCGAACCAAATACCCTCTCTTTATTTTACTACAGACAAACATTGTAGCTCTCTAAGACCTGCTGTGTAACAAGTTAGAGAAAAAAAGAGAGAACAACACTGGTGAGGCATTGTATCAAAAGAGACGAGTGATATAGGAACTGAGCTATCACATCATTCTCCTTGTACTCGAAGAAACTCATTCACTAAAGAGAACTCCCTTGCAACCCAAGGGGACTGGACTAGGATTCACATTGAATCCGAGGCCAGTATAAAATTTTTGGTGT